TTGAAATAAAATTATCCACTTGTGGTAGATTTGCATATCTACATATTATACAAACAAAAATTATAACTGTAAAATCAATGTGTAATCTTTTCCCTTCCTTGTGAATGCAACTGCTATACAACTGCCATCCACAGTTGTTGATCAAGTGACTTTGTTTGTCAGATTGCATAGCACTCAATGCTGTGAGCCATCACTTGGTATGAACAAGTGACCTTCTATAGCCAAAAAGTCTGGTATTTTTAGTGACAGAGCTGACATGCATGCTGACACTAAAATGCAGCTTCAGAGTATGATCAGAGTTATCTATAGGTATCAATCATATATTAGTAGAATGAGAAAAAATTATATATACACACACATATATGCATATATATATATATAAATATATATATATATATATATATTATATATATATATATATATATATATATATATATATAATATATATATATATATATATATATATATATATATATATATATATATATATATATATATATATATATAATATACATATATAATATACATATATATATATATATATATATATATATATATATATATATGTATGTATATATTTAAAAAAAATAATTGTTTAAACCTAAACATTCCCTAATACTTTTATATTTTTTCACATTACTTCTTATGACCAAACCTTTTACAATATCATTGTGAATTGAACATCACCTGTCATTTTGACCCTCATCACAAAATGAAAATAGTGTGACAATCACATGTTGGGTGTGACCGACTTCATACTAAATCTTGTAGAAAATACTTTACCCAAATGCTATTGACTCAACTACTACAGCAAACTAAATGCCCCTGGGTAAGGGGGTCTTAGAATATCCTGGAATACCCTAACCCCCCCTAGACTGAAGCAATAGAATAAAACACAAAAAGTAGGTGTGTCGGTCTTAGAATTACGTTAAAACTACCTCCTGACTCACGCGAATTTTACGCCAACCTCAGTCGGAAATTTCCCAGAATACTTCGTGCTCTTCCTACCTCTTCCCTACTGTGCCTAGTTTCGTTCTAATTCTAATATAAGCCACCCATATGACTGGCCAGATCCTCTCAAAGACACACTCGATCTAATCCAATTTAATTAACAATCAACATTGTCCGAGGCAAGCGAATTCTGGGATTTTGTGGGAGATAATTGGATAGTCAAATTCTCTATGAAATAAGTCAGAAGCAAAAGTTTTATTTCTGTTATATTCAATCGTTACTTACTCGTATTTTCTCTATAGCTGTCATAGTCCTAATACGACACAATTGTGAAAACTATTGATGTTTTTCTAGCAGGTGTGACATGGAAATGTTGTTTACAAACATTGAGGGAAACGAGCCTAACTAAAGTGTGCGCGATTGGGATACGAGCGACTCCGTTTTAGGGATGCACGGTTCATTGCTGGATTGGACGTGATTTTAATGATAACCATATTAACAGCAACAACAACAGTAGTAATAGTAATAATAATAATAAAGATAATAATAATAATAATAATAATAATAATAATAATAATGATAATAATAATAATAATAGTAATAATGACAACAATAATAACAATATCATGATAACAACAGTAGCAATAATAATGATATTGGCACTGAGAAAGGTAATTATAATGATAATAAGGATTATACGTATGGATACCCAGACACACATATCTAGCAAGTAACTGCTGCTAATTTAATATTTGTAAAAAACATTTTTTATTTATCTATATATATATTTTTTTTAATGCGTATATTGCCTTATTTGGATTTTAACAAATCTACATAACTTTTATTCTCATCAGCCGACTTTCTTGTACTGGGCAAAAATAAAAATACTAATAAGATAAAAAGAAATTACTAAAGTTTCACATGATTAAAAAATGATAGTAGCTGTTATAAATCTGTTTCATCCCCAACAAAGGGGTGTGCAGGTGAAGTTAGGTTAGGTTAAGTTGTGCTAGGTTAAGTTAAGTTTAGGTTACGTTAGGTTAGGTTAGATTAGTTAGGTTAGGTATTGGGATACATTAGACATCTAGCAATGTTGATTTTTGGACTTTTGAAAAAAATGGACTTTGGGTACGATGGTGATAATGAGATGAAATGGGTAGCATTTATATTTGTTCGAGAAATACTCGACTAATAAAATAAACAGTAGTCGTATAAACTGATCCTGGGCTTTAACTATTTTCCATTCTGACTTGATGATACCATAAGTAAGGGAGTGTTAATGTCCAAATAAATGTTAAGTCAATAGTAATTATCTGGAAATGTAATCGTAGCCAGTGTATATTTTACGTTGGAGGAAAATGGATATTTGGTTATAATGATAATCGAACATTGACAAATTGTTTCTCAGTTGTTGGTAACAACAATTATATTTGTAGCGAGGCGTAGACCTAGTAGACTTCAAATTGTCTGGTCGAGTTCGGGCTCAACCGATAATATAGTTTTTTTTTTTTTTTTATTCAGGAAAGAGATTCGTCTGCAGTGGAAAGCTGTAAGGTCCCAGGCCTACGGCACGCTGCCACCACCCGTTTAGTAGGTTCGGGAACCGTGTGTGTAGTGTATGGGGGTGCGAACGTTGTATAAGAGATGGGTGGAAGGAAAATACAGAATGTGTGTGCTGAATGTTGGATGTGTAAGTGTGTAAATGTGAAAAGAGAGACAGCACAAGCTGAGCGTCTGCGTGGACGTGTTTGGAAGAAAAATGCAAGGTCATAGAATTCTTCCCCTTCCCTTCGGTTTGAGCATCCACCTGCTGGAAGCGGGAACCCAGGTATAGCGAAAGTTATGGTCTGTTCTAATATATCAGCTTAATATACTCCAATTCATCAAGCCTTTGTACATCCTTTCAGGGTTGCGAGATCTCATAGTAACCAGCAATGTGCTGTTTAGGAGACCTATTCCAAAGAACGTTTCAAGCATTCAGCCTTGGTCCGATCCAGAAACTAAGTGGTCGCAAATGCCATTTGTTCTACGGCGGTATGATATTTATTTACCAAGCAAACTGCACTCACTCTACAGGCAAGTCAGTCATGAATATAGATAAAGATGTGTGCATCGCCAATTTATCGCAGCGAGGATAATGCACGTGAAAATCAACACCAGATGCATTAAAAATAACACTCAAACATACCCACCCACCCCAAATTGGCGTCCCAACTCCATACGTATTTTTACCCCAGAGTGTTACCTCGAAAACATACCGATCCCTAGTTTAAAGAAAGAAAGAAAGAAAACTAGTGCTGATAATCTGATATATATAGTGCTACGCCAGAGGGTCTTTGTCTCTGTGCAAACGTGTGCGAGCGCGTGCGAACGCGTGTTGGCGTGTTTTGACAGGAAGATGACGCGGCGGCGAAGGAAGGGGGCAGACGGGGGAGTCGAGTTTTGGTGCCGCTGCTGTGATGACCTCGCGTGTGCCCTTCTCCAGCCTGATATACTTTGTGTTGCCCTGTTATATGCTGTATTGTGCAGTGTGATGTGCTGGTTTGCCTCCTGTATTGTGTCTATAGAAAAGTGTACGGGTAAATAACTGTGTAAATAAAGGAAAGACAGTGATTGTGAGTTTTTCTTTCGTGCCCTGCCTCGCCCGTGGCGTTTTCCCTCGTGGTGTTTTGGGACGGTGTGGTACTCGGTGCCTCTTGGAGCTGTTCAGTGTTCACGACCCTGTGAATAACACGTCGTTTGCCTAGCCTGCCTCGTGTTGGTGGCAGGTAGAGAGGTGGCCGGCGTAACAATAGTATAAGAAATGATTTAGTGTCGGAGCCCAAGTAAAAAAGAAAATAACACCAAAAGGGCACAGATCACGAAGACTGCCTGAACACCCACAATCTCAGGCAGGAGTCAACCGAGACAACACATCAAAGGAAAGTAAAATGGTCCTGAAAGTATTATGGGCGAGATTGTAAAAGATCTTTCTCCCAAGAGGTACGGATCCTCAAGCTGAGAGAAGAAAGCTTAGTGATAACACTGAATGGCACACTGGAGGTACGGATCCTCAAGCAGTGCCCCTTCTATGTGAAGTGGTCTTTTTCTACTCTCTGACTCTTTTATTTCACAAAATGCAGCCTTTGGGACATTGTGTAAGAGAGTACTCCCTGCAGATGGTAATGCAGCATGTCACACGCCATATTCCAAAAGAGACCAGGTGTCTCCTACACACAACCATAAATAATACTTCACTTTGGGGAGACACAGATTCAGCAACCCTGGCGTGAACCGATGTAAATCCACAGATCCACTAAGAGCGGGACCACCGTACACAACAGAAGTCAGGACATAACCAAAAGTATCCAAATCCATTAGTCCTTGTACACGAAAGAGCCCCCCAGTCCATGCCCCAGCCAAGGCGCGAAAATACGCAAAGTATCTAAACAAGCCAAAGGACCCAAAAAACATGGAAACAGAGAGGGAGAGAAAAACAAACTGTGACGACCATTACTATCTTCAAGATTATGTTGACACTTTGGAAGTGTCGCCGAAGAGATAGAATAATAGAAACAAAATAGGGGAAAGGATACTTAAGAAAACTGGAAATACACTGTCTAAGCGAAAACTGTGGATTTCGGGCTGTACATGTTTACGGTATTTGAATTTGAAAATAAATAAACCTTTAATATTTTTTCTAGGCGATTTCAACGCCATCCAAATAATGGGCTTTGGTTTTAAATGCGTCCTATGATTATAAAAGTAACCTAACCTACCCAAGACCACATTAACTATGTCTCTACCGTTGGTCATGGTTTAAGATGGCACACTCGAGCCGGAGGGCGTCTCGCTAGGCGGGCGAATCAGCAGCTTCACGCGGGTGCACAACGAGTGCGCCCGCTTCGTTGGTGGAAGCGGAGCCAGGGACGTCAAAGGCAGCATCACAGAGTTCCCCTCATCATTTATTCCGTGGTAGAAGAAGCATGCGGCATGGTCAAGACCCAGCCTCATCCACTTGGCGCTCGAGAATGATGTCAGTCCTAGCGAGCTCGGCCTTAGAGTCGGCGAGTGCACAGGCGTACACTACAAAGTTAACTTCATTGCGATAAACATTTTGAAAAAAAGACACTAAAGCTTATGGAAAAGAGATGTTTTGATTAAAACTGATCTATAATTTTTATTAATTTGCCGACTGCAGCCGGTATTGCAACATAAATGTAAGGTTAGTAATGGAAGCGGCAAAAATACTAATATCTGAAGAAAAATAACTTTAATGTTAAAAAAAATAGAAAAAAATACAGTGATAATTGGTGCAGACAAGGAATCCTTTTGTTTGATAAGAAAAATAAAACAAGTTATACATTATTATTATGTAGGTCTGTCTCTAAAGGTTACTGTTCTAAAAACGACACAAAAAAAGTAAAATACTTTATCTCTTATGGTTATTCAATGTAATCGACATAGGTAATGAGAAATTCATGAAATGTCTGGGTACCCTATAAGATAATATAGACCTGAGTGATTTGCTTCCTAATACTATAAAGTGAATAGTATTATGAACGCTAATACCATCCCCGTTCAGTATACCGAACATGCCTACATGAACAGTCAAACTGATAGAAGCACCTGCTGTTTCAAATAGAAGTGTAAAATCAAATTCTAGACGAAATAATTTCGGAGAACATATTCGATGTTCAACATTTTCGTTGAAGAAAATGTTTACGTAAATATGAATATAAACAGTACTGGTTATGTGTTACCAACAGCCTTATCAGATATCACCTATATACAAATATATGTACAGCGAAACAGAGAAGAGAAGGATAATGAAACAAAATTTAGAAGAATACCATGAAACTGAAGCTAATGAACGATATGGATATGAGCCAAGGCGAATAATACCTCTTATACCCCCAAAAATGCAGTATGTAGTATTTACGACGCACAAAATTCTATAGAGAATTATGGCACAAGTCAGCATCATAACAATTTACCTATTGATAAAAAAGTTAAAACTCAAGGTGGAGACATAAACGTCTTCATCGTCACCATAACATGAAGTGTGTGTATGTAAGGGAAATGGAAAGTAAGATAATATAAATGAGGCGTGAATGTTAATTGGGCAAACTACCCAATAGCTAAAACTAGCACGAATGACCGTGTGAGATTATGAATGTTGCTACTGGTCTGTATATTAACAATACATTTAAGGGATGTAATCAGTGGAGACACTTCATCGCAACAAAATGCACGGGAAAGAAAGATGCTTATGAACGAATGGGTACATTAATGATACAAAGAGATAGACAATAGCGAATGGGAGTAGTGATAACCCGAAGGCAGCCGCGAACACATCGCCTTGAGAGTAACACGGCAAGGAAAAAGTGTTGCTACTCTGACGACCTAACCGAGAAGACTAGAGGCTTCCTCTTGTGCTTAGCCG